TCCGCGCTAAAAAGTGTCCGAACTTATAGGGCGTTAAAATCGTATACAGAGCGTCTTCACGCTTTAGTCTTCGTTTGTTCGACTGACAGCGAAGCAAGCAAAATTAGACAGTACTTCGATGACATTGCAATTTAAATTCAACGTTTTAGCCTTTTCATGTTCCTTTACATGTCATTACGTTTAAATAGGTTGACTTGGGACATTTTTTTCGTGGTTTTTGTATTAGACCCGTCGTCCATTTATTTGTAAGTCAATGATTTATATATAATATTTACCGAAGAACCCCCTTTAGTAGTAGTCGTTGGCGCTGTCTATATTTCAGTGCAAACGAGAGTTGATATTTATAAGTGATGGATATATCAGTGATAACTGATGAGTTAGCAGCAATGTATGGCCCATATTTCGTCTCTATTTCTGGTTATATACTCGATGTTAGTGAATAATCACGAAAGTCTTAAATATTTTATAAAAAATTCATCACTAGTAAAAATCCTAACCATTAAATCTGATTCTAATTTACTCTCGTCATAACATTGCTAAATTAGATTTAAAAATTCAGATTCCCAGCAATAACACAATTAAACATCTCAAGTACATGCTAGCTTTTAACCCTTGCAGAAGAGGGGTATGATGCCTTTCCTCCCCTCAGCTTGGCAGAGCATCCGGGTTGAGTGTCGTCGAACGGACGGCAATTAGGTCGGCCGAGTGGCCATCTCTTTTGTTTTCTTCTTCCCTGGTACTTTTGGAAAAAAAGTACTTATTGTGTTTACTAAATCATAGCGACAGCAGCGAACCATCGTCATTTACATAATCAAGAACTTGACTGAGTTACAACTTAGGAGTCGACACACTTATTAACGCAGAAAAGGCTTTGTGTCCATGAACATAAGAGCGAAAAAGGACGAGCGTTTCGCATCGGTTTGTACGAACGCGGCTCGCCACAGCGTGAAACACACAGAGAGCGGGTGCGGGGCGGGTGTATGTCGAGTCGGGAACGCGGCGGGTCTAACTCCGTGTGTTTATATGGACAACACACCACGCGCTGGTGCGAGACAGTCGCCGCACACCCGACCCGACACGCACCCGATCCGCACCTGCGCTCTGAGTATTTCACGCTTGATCCTCGTTTAGAAACAACTTTCGAAACGGCGCGCGTACGGCCGCGTTAACGGCGAATCGGCTTAACGCGACAAGTATGGATAAACACGATCACATCAAGACGAATCCGGGTTAATGAGTTTGATGATAACCTACACGATTTAATGCAACACGTCATGTCTGTACAGGTTACACCCAATTGATACGCAGAATGTTAAATTTTTAATATACGAAACAAACAAATAAACATTATACAACATCATAAATGTTGCTGTGATCCCAAAGTAACTTCAAAACACTTGTGTTATGGAACTCGGAAACCACGACGGTACCACAAACACCCAGAACCGAGACAATATAGAAAAGTTAGTTTTTCTACATTGACCCGGCCGTCCAGTGCCTTTAAAATGTATTGATAAATAAAAAAAAGTTCATAATATGAAATTGTTACGTTTTTCCGATACGGTTGTTGATTATTTAACGTTTGCAATAACATCCGAAACGGATGTTCTTTTCAATTCTACTAATTATTTATATCTATATGCCCGCAATCTCGTTGATTGAGGAATAAACTATTATTATAACAAATAAACTAAACTGTCCTTTCTGTCCTTTGCAATAGAGTTAAAAATACCTAGAAGAAATGAGCGTGTAATAGCTGATGGGAGTGTAGGAAACGAGAGGTACTTAGCATTCATAAGCATGTCAACGTGCGTATTGCTTTGCAGGCGGTATATATATTTATTAAACATAATAAATATAAAATTCAGTCATTCTGTAGTTACTGAACCCCTATTTTTATGTCTATGCATTATTTTTATGAAATACTAGCTGTACTGTTTGTCGTTTAGCTCTGCAAAATATGGCCTAATATTAATTTTATTTGTTTTTTTTGCACTCCACTATGACTTCATCTTTTACAGTGTATGATAAATATATAACCTAATCTGTATTTAAAGAAATAAAAATGTCATTTTGTCTTTGCCGCTAAAAAGGTGTATTTCTCTTATCGAGTTCTTAGGTTTTCGCGATTGTTACACATAGGAAATGAAACTATTTTTCCGGATTTAAATCGCGTATATTTGTTTTTTCAAACAAACCGACGTTTCGGGCCCTTTACAGGTCCCATGGTCACGGTTGACTCAAAAACAAATATACGCGATTTAAATCCGGAAAAATAGTTTCATTTCCTATGTATTTCTCTTCCTCGTTACATTTATAAAATAAGAATAAGTAATGTACCCGAATGGAGATATCCTCCAACACTCTTAGTGGAGACCCGTACCCAGAGTGGCGTCTACTTTAGAGACTTGCGGGCGTGGGCGTGCCCACTCATGAAAATTTTATCCATTTTTACAATATGTGATAGAGTTCGTCCAGAAAAATGCTGCCACCTTACCTATTTCAGCCGCCATGCTGTAATGTGAACATTACTGCGTTCCGTTTTCGAAGGGTAAGAGTGCTAGTGAAACTACAGGCACGTGGGACTTGTCAACATATGTCTCAGACGGGCACAGTGGCAGTGCCCGTAAGATCTTTGCGATTAAACGCTCTCCCTGGCACTGCAATTGTTATGGATAAGCGTGTCGCTTATCACAAGGCGCACGACTTGTTAGTCCTGTGGTAATACATATATATGCATAATTTCTGTGTTAGCGGTGATGGTATGATCACTGTATATTAAACCTTGTCTGAACGTTCAAAAGCCGCAATTTTAATTTAAAAAGAAACCTTCAGAGACCTTCACAGCAAAATAAAGTATTTACTATTAACATCTATGTGATGTCTTCTTATGTCGCAAGAGTGTTCATTTTTAACGGCATCTCTGCGTCGGAAACACAGACTATTTTTGCCATGGGCTAGACATCATTTTACACTAAATCTGTGCAATGTAAAACAATATTGAAATGTTAAGCCACATAAAAATCTTTAGAAATGAACTACGTATTTTACGCCACAATTCCCTGTGGAAATTTCAATTTGCATATTAATTCAACGTGAAGGGAAATTCATTCTACAGTTTTACAGCACATTTCCTTTGGAAAAACAGTAAAACGTGTTGCACCTCGTATGCATAGTTAATATACAAATGCAGTAGTCTTTGTAATATTAATCAACAAGATAACAGATAACAGATCAAGTAATATTTATAAGCTTTAAGTTATAGGAAGGTTTACTAGAATGTTTTTTTATGATACTAAGTGCGTCTGGTGTTAAGCGAAATTTAAATCAAAAAGATCTGAGAGGCACTGCCACAGCGCCCGTCACCATGAGACATAACTTGACAAGTCCCATGTAATTCCGACAGAAATAGGTAAGGTGGCAGTACTATTCTGGACGACATCCTTCACAAGGAGCTCTACTGATACTAAATATTTATAATGTATCGGTTTTTGATTTATAATTTTTGTTCTTCGTGGAACTTGTGGCATGTAGAATTAAAATTAAGTTTTGTGTCATAATTACCATAGTTAACTTCTTTGAAATTAGCAAACTTCGGTAACGTAGCGCATTTACTTCATTGACCTTTTAACTTAAGTTTCTTCGCAATATCATTACTCATTATTTATTAAATTAACGTAGATTCAAAGACGAAGGCATTTCACTCGTAAATATGTTTGCGACTTTTGTCTACCGACACCTTTTACGCAGCGTTCTGAAGTTAGTGTAATAACCATTAATTCTGTTCGAAAACCTCCCTTGATAAAAGCTAGTGATGCAACAGACCTGTGCTTCTGCTTCCACAACTGCGGTAGTTCCGCACGCTTTTTCACTTCTGTTTCTGCTTCCGCAACATTTATGACGGAACTTTAATTAGAAGTTTACAACGTTTGCGACGGATCAGGCGCTGCTGGTGCGGATCACTTGACGGTGAAGCGCGCGTTTTTTAGTAATAGTTGCACTGAAATTATGAAACTGTTTTGTTGAGTTCTCTATAGTATTTACATTTCCACTTCCGCATCCGTTTCCGGTAAGATTTACTTTTGACATCTGTTGCCGTTATGACACTTCTGTTGCATCACTAATAAAAGCCCGCCAAGCATTTACGGTCTGATTTAGTAAAGAATCTACACAAATAATAGAAACACAAGGAACTTGACAAAGTGCCGGTGGGGTGCGAAACAACCTTGTTTAATTATGCACCGTGGACATGAAGTGCAGCGGACGGGAAGTTTATGGGCCGGTAAATAACCCACCACCGCTACCTGTGACATTTTCCGAAAATGCTTTAAATATTTAACACGATGATGTTTGTCTGCTGGTGACTTATTGTGTATATATTATGTACATATTATATGAATAGTTTCATAGATGTTTTAGGTGGTTTTGTGTCCTAAGCCAATACGAATAGCACTTCGTTTACTCCAAAAGGGGAAGTAAAACTGGAAATGACTGACGTATGCTTTTTTTATTGGAATTTTTTCAACAGTAGTTCATATTCCGATACAAGATAATGGAACAGTTGATTTAAAAGTATACCAACTATGCGTACAGTTATCTCTACCTAATTTCGTTGGCAATTTTTACTATTTAACTATTTGAGTATATTATTGTGAAATATTAAATAATATTTCAAGATACTACTCTCGAATATTAAGTAATACTTCATGATAATACTCTTGAATATTTAATAAATATTGCCACCGGTATTAGGTACAGAAATTAACCTGAAAATTAAGTAAGTTTTGAACGTAAATTTCGGATTTTAAGACAGCAGCTTACAATGTGCGAGAGCACACTCAGAGGGACATTAGTCATCTACCCACATTGCTTGATCTTAAATTAGGTACTCTAACTACTCAGAAATTTTACCCGAAACGAAATTCTTTGCTTTCGAAAAGGAATCTTTCGTCAACCTTGACCATCGGCAAATCTAACCTTCGTGTATGATATTGTTTCAGAGCTAGAGGGTTGTCGGGCGTGGTGCGGGCGGCGGCCGCGGGCCCGGCACCATGGCGACTGTGGAGGGGCGGCCGGCGCAGTATGGCGTCACGCTGCGGCAGCTGCGCGAGCTCATGGAGACGCGCGGCGCCGAGGGGCTGGCCAAGATCAACGCGCTCGGCGGGTCGCAGGACATATGCAAAAAACTCTACACATCGCCCACAGATGGTCAGTACTAGATGTATTTCCTCATACTTTCATTATGACACCTAACGACACGGGCGTTTTTAACAGGCCTTTTACGTGTATCAGACGTAGGTATCGGTCACATCAAAAGATGTAATGCTTAATCATTTTGCAAAAGTTACTTTTTACGACAACTTTTCTTACAAAAGAATCAAAACAAAACAGAAACCTCAAACTTTCATTATGACTTGAGTAAATTCTAGTGTTTCAGAAGTAGTTCTGTGTAATGTTTACCAAATGTTTATTATTCTATGCATCGTTTTCCAAAGTGGTTCCTACCACCCCCCAGTGGGCGCTGAAGAGTCCTAGGGCGGTAAGAGCCTCGGAAGCAATTGAGGGACGTTGCTGCAGTCCAAAGGGTTCTACCGCATTTGAAAAAAAAAAACCTAAATTATCTATATAAACTACACTACTTATACATTTTTTTTCCTTGTAATTTTTTGTGTTAAGTTAATATGGATGACCTCCGTGGCTTCTATCCCGGCCTGGTCAGTGTAGGAACACTAACTTTTCTATATTGTTTCGGGTCTGTGTGTTTGTGCTACGGTCGTTGTCTCCGATTTCATAACACATTTGTCTTAGCTTTAGCTGCTTACTTCGGGATCAGAACAACGTATGTGATGTTATAAAAATTTTTTTCTCCATTCATAATAATAATAAAATCGTTTCTTTATCTCAACACATCAATAAGTGAATATAAGCTGCTTCATGTAATGAGTTTAGTAACAGATAGTGATGGGAGATAAAGAGGTGTGTAGATCAATCAGCACGATGCCGGCCTGTTTCTCAGCGCCTCTGATATTCTTTTACAGACTGCCATGTTCAAAACAAAAGGACTAACATACATATTATCCCAGTTTTAAGATTCCCATCAGATTAATAAACAAAAACTTAAGAAAAAGTAATGAATTGCTATATAGATTATAGAATTATACCCAGAGCACCACATACAAACTACATTACAATGCCTATATCCAAAGTTTGTCGAGACAAGAACCAGTTAAAATTCTTCTTACGAAGTTGTACAGAGTTGGAGACTCCTTAACACATTCGATGAGCATGATATGATGTCCTCCAACTGCGGCGAGATATGCGTAATTAGTAATACTACCATGAAGTAAAACTGGACAGAGAAGAAAAAAAAAATTTACGCCGCATCTTGTTGGCACATACTTTTATGAAATATTTAATGGAATTCAAACTCTTACATTTAATATAATAATAATTACAATAATAACGTACACACTCATCGCCCCGCACTAAGGAAACCCTGTATCGCGGGTGCCGTGGACACACACATAGACAATCACAAATTACACCCAAACTCACGAGAGAAATAATTGTAGGCCGGGACCTCTGCATGGTAGTCCAGCTTGATAACCGTTCAGCCAAAGAGGCAGTTATATGGGCAGTTATATCAATAATTTATTATATCATTAATTTAAAAAAAACTTTCCGTAACTATTTAAACAACAAATGTAAATTTAGGAGCGCTGAATGTTGAGGTCTCAAGTTCGATTCCCGATAGGACCAATTTGGAATCGAACTATTCTATGATTCTTGTCTGGCTGTTCTAAGACTTTTGTCCCGTTCTCCGTCCGACATCCGTCCGAAACAATTATTGTGAAATAAGTAATATTTGATCTTGTTAAAACACAATGTCAAGTATGAAGCTTCATTCGCATCGTGCGTCTTTTAATTTGGTCGAGTATTACTTATTCGGGCTCTTACACATAAACACAATACGACGTCGCATCGTGCTACGACGCGGCATCGTTTCACGATGCGACGTCATATCGTGGAAATGTACGACGAGCAACGTAAAAATTCACGACACGACATCGCAACGTGTCACGACGCTCGGCACAACGTCGTATCGTAGAAACTCACGGTTCACTCCCGCATTCATTTGTTATTCAATATTCAAAGATGACTTTGTTTCTTCTGATGTTTTGTCCCATAGTACAGGATGCTCCTCGACTAGGGTTATTAAATAATCAACCTCATCTGTCACCCACGTTGCAATGTCGTGTCGTGAATTTTTATGTTGCTCGTCGTCGATTTCCACGATACGACGTCGCATTGTGAAGCGATGCCGCGTCGTAGCACGACACGACTAGGTGATTTGTATGGTTATGTGGCACATTATTGTTATTAAAACAGCTAACAAAAACGTTTAAATAAACCATAGACACATACAAAATGTAAATAAACTAATAATCTCTTTGATAGACAGTTGTAATAACAGATGTCTTCAATTGTATTTGCAACCTAATACGAAGCAATAAATATTTACGAACGATTCTTCTGTCATGTCGTAATGTCCTAGACATAATGTTAATAAACGAAGGAAATTAGAGTGTATTTTTTAAACCTTCACGGCCTGTGCGTGACTTGAACACGTTTCCTTGTCAAGAACTTAAGTACCTGTCGCTTATAAGTTGAAAATACTTAATACAATATAACAAAAAAGAATTTTTCTGATATTATGTTAGTTAATTTCGTAATTAAAATTAAACACGTTAGTACCGATACCGCGAGCTAAAAAGTATGTTTATAATTATACTATAAGTGTAACTTGTAACTTCACAGCGGTATAATGAAGTTTATTTACGTAAGTTTCATGAAATACATTCAGAGTAGATAAAACCTCTCACTGAATTCTGATTAAAAATAAACGGCAAATAATCGGAACAAAATAGTTATATTTTATTTACAATCACAACGTTACTTCACATCGAGACAGTGTTTCTGTTTTATAAAGTCCAAGACCGGTTGTGTACTGCCATCTACGAGATCATGGTCATGAATCTGCTAAATATCAACTGACCATCTTGGAAAGGAACAGATCTCAAAAGTCCTAGCATTTTAAGAACCGAATGAAGTCCCTAAATCAACGGCAACGGTCTGTGACAACCCTGTCCACGGCCTGACCGGGGTCAAGACCTGAACTTATAAGGTCCCCGTGCTTACACAGGTTATAGTGCCCTTCCCGTATAACCAAGAAATTGATAGGGTCACTGTAATCAAAACTTAGTAGAAAGATATTGGACTGGCCATCTTGGAATCTGATAAGTCGTGAAGCTGCAGAGGCTTGAACACCGCCGTAAAATCGTCTACTTATTCTACAGGATATATCACGCAGAGTGTGCGATTCACCTTTCCATCATCGGGGGATTAGCCGTAGGCTGGGGTGTCTACCCCTATGTTGTGGATATATTAAGGATTCGCATGAAGCGTTCCGCTTGCACATTAATATGGCGTTCGGCTATTTATTTTTACGTACTTAATCCCTGAACGCTATAACTTGGGCCTTTTCAAAGCGAGAGTTAATAAGCATTATTTAGATGTGCACACTCCAAAATGGACCTCAGAATTACTTTTTTATGATCCTAGTAACGGGGCGAAAAAAAACCTAGCGCCTGGTGTTAAGCGACATGCAAGTCATGCCACTTGCTGTGCCACTTAGAGCTTTAAATTGCGAAGATCTACTGCGCCTGGCACTCCGAGACATTAGTTAACAAGACCCAGGAGCCTGTAATTTCATTAGCACCTTACACTTCAAAACCGAAACGCGGTAATGTTTACATTACTTTTAAATTCCTCGATTTACTGACGTAAGGAATTAATATTTTCCTTACATTAATGTTAAGACAACTCATTCATATAATTCCATACAAACGAATTAGATAGATAAAAACATTATTCACTTCCATGACAACTTATTTACATAAGATCCACTAAAACGAACCCCATAAAATTATTTTTATATAGAACCACTTAAAATAACACCTTGTTATAACAAAAGAAACGTATAACTAATTAAAGTAAATAATTTGGAAGTTATAGCAGTGAAAGGGCGCTGGCTCAACATAAATGACGCGGTTTCCTACGACCCTGGTATTCTGCCAGAACCGTTTTTAAAGAAACGTCTCATCATCCCAGATAGTCCTCTGGCTTTATCATTTAATTAAATAAAGATTATATATATATTTTTTTTTATGAGTAAAACAATATGATAAAATGTGTGTGTGTGAGTGCTTGGGTATGTGCATACGTGCGTTTATATCAATATTTTATGTTGCAAGATAGTTATAACCACATTTCAAAATGTATGTATTTATGTTCAGACTATGTAAAATAATTTGCGTTTGTAGGGGTGTATGCGTGTATATTACTTATGAACTTCCCTGACATTAAAAGTTTTATATAATATAATAAATTCTATCTTCTACGTTTCACGATCATTGTTTTCTTTAAAGAGAAGGTTCAATAAGCCGTAGTCTGCCACGCTGACTCAATACGGGTTGGGCACTTCAAACGTGCTCCAAAGGTTGTGAACCTTGTTCGACTTGCAGGTTTCATTATGTTCGTTTTCCTTCGTCGATAGCGAGTTAGTACCAAAGCACGGACGTGTAATTGTACCTTAATAGCCTCATCATATGGGCCCCGTGTAACCAACGACAGTTACGTTATTGTTTATTCGTTGGCAATACATTTAAGGACTTAAGGAAGTCAACGACTTATGGTGCATTGACATGAAGTTGGAAAGTATATTCCACTAATGGATTTAAGTTAGGTTCCGAAGGCCTAAAGTTGCTTAACAGCTGAGAACCTCTGACATGCAAATTTCTTGGACATATTTTCTTACACCAATATTCATTTTAGGCAGGATTGAATTTATCAGTACAGGCTGCTTTACAGTCTTTGATAAGAATTTGCCGAAGTAAGCGCAGCGGTCTGTTGCGCACGGAGATGCTAATGTCCATCTCTTGAATTTAATCTGTGATATTTGAAATAAATAATAGATAATAAATGTATACAACTTTTTATTTACAAAGAGCAACACATAGTGTTTCATACTCATTCCACTCAGGGGAATCTGCCTTACGAATAAGTAGTACAGTTTAATCAATATGACGATTTCAATATGAGCAATCAATATGAGCGTTACTGCGTTTCGGTTTTGAAGGGTAAGAGTG